GAAGTTAATTAAGAGTTATATACATTTATGTCTCACTTTATAATTTAATTTCTACTTACATTTATTTGTTTATTGTATTTTTGTTGGCAATTAATTGTATGCTTATATATTTTTTGAGCATTTATTTATTTCTGTATTTATTTTTAAATATGGCATAGTTGGTCCTCCATACACCTGAAGGATCAACTGCTTTCCTGGAAAATGACCCTCAGCATGTTCCACACATTCCACCTGCATTCTAAGAGCTCACCGGTAGGTGGCGGTGAAGCGCCGCGGTGTTGTTTACCAGGATGGAATCAGAGGGTCGATCTCAGTCACGTGATTTAGTCAACTTCCTGTTTATCGCTTGTTTGTGAAACTCTGTACGCTGGACCGTCCTGCTGAGCTGTCGGTCACATTACTGTACCGTGGTCTGGGTCTGGTCCTGGTTCTGGTTCTGGTTCTGTTGGACCTTCCAGAGGACCGTGGATGACCCGCTGAGCAGCACCGGAGGATCGGCTGGTACTGACGGGTCCAAACCCTCAGATCGGTTCCGGTTGGTTCCGTGGTCTCCTGCTCCGCAGCGGCGGCTCCCTGCTGCTCTCCCCGGGGCACCGGCAGCCCGCGGCCCGCCAGCGGCTGGAGTTCCGGCGGGGAGGAGCTGCTCACCGCTGCCGTGAATCCAGGACGGCCTCCCGGCTCCGGCCCCCTGCAGCGGGCAGTCAGGAAGAAGCTCGCCGGGAAGGGATGGCCTGCTCGGTCTCCCCGCTCCAGAGGACACGGCGCTGCGGTGTTTGAGGGCGGACGGGTGCGGCTGGAAGCTACCGCCGCGGCTCCAGGCGCCATGATGGCCGCCTCCCCCACCGCGGCCGGCGGCTTCCCGTTCCCCGGGCTGTCGGTCAGGAAGGGCGAGCAGATCGCGGAGCTGATCGAGCTGTTCTCCAGGACCCAGTACAGAGCGAAGGAGGTCAGCCCCCGGGTAAGATGGCAGACTTTACCTCAGCACGAGCTTAGAAAGAAATGACCACCATGGAAAGAGTCACTAATTGGTCTGGCTGCAGGAGTCAACAGCCAGACCATTGATCTAAATGAAAGTGGAAAGGAGGAGCTGAGCGTTTGAAGCATGTGCTGTCACTCATATGAACCCGCCCCCTCCTCCTGCAGGTGGAGATGATAGAGAAACGATGTCTGGAGCTTTTTGGAAGAGATTACAAGTACAGCATCATCTCCAACTCCAACGGAGAGGTCTGCGGCCACTACCCCCGGCAGATAGTCTTCCTGGAGTATGAATCCCCGGAGCCGGACAGAGACAGGTAGGTCCCTGCACCCACCGCCATCACCCCTGGATACAAAGTCCCTCTGTCCCTGCACCCCTGGATACAAAGTCCAGGTGGCTCAGCCAGCAGCGGTGTCCTTCAGCAGGCCGCCTGTGATGCAGGGGGCAAAGGTCAGCTCAGGGCTGGAGCTAATAGAGGAGGAAGTGAGATCTCTGTCACATGAGGCGCTGCTGCTGCAGAAACAGGAAACGAAAAGCAACACGTCCCTCTGCTGATTGGTGCAGAGGAATCTCCTGCTGAGTGTCGCTTCAGTGTTTCACAGTCAAATGTTTACATTTAGGAGCTGCACTGAAAAAAACAAAAACTATTTCTGATCCTTAAATGATGGAAAGTCAGAGCGTTACCGGATTTAATGAATTACAGATTTCAAAAGTGAAAACTTAGTAACCTCTGAGGCTCTGGGATGCCTCTGGCATAGATCCAGATCTGGTAGACGACACCCCATAAAAGGTTTCTGTGGGATTTATCGTTAAAACACAAAGAACTAGAAAAATGACAGTAATAGAGCTGCTGAGCTCATGCTACAATCAGCCCGCAGGCAGCAGAAGCTGCTGGTTTCCATGGAAAATCAATGGTTGACCAGCATGAAGGAGCAGCAGGAGAAGCTGCTGAGCTGCAGCTGCTGGTTGCGCCTCATCAACCAATGAGAGAAGCTGATCTGGGAGCTGGCAGGGAGTCAGACGCAGCACTGCTGATGCAGAGCGCTATGATCACTCCTCTGAAACAGTTTATTAACGC